TTCTGAGTTCTTCCCATTATTCATTGCTCTACAGAGCTGGAAGAAGTGGAAGACTTAGGACATAAAAAAGGAGCAAGTGTGTAAACTACCCAGGTGCCAGAGCTAGCTTTGTCTCTTAGTGGTTGTCCCATTTTGGAATGGTCAAATTAATTGTATTTTTCATTCATTCAGTAAATATTTATTGTTGTCTTCTTTTGCAAGGCACTGTATGAAAACATAAAAATAACAGGGCCCACTGCTTTAAGATTAAAACCTTCACCAACTGCTTACATCCACAGCAGGATATGACGATATGAGATAAGTAGCCTATTTTACTCTGCAATACAGAAAGATTGTTACTTGCTGAGATAGTAACATTGTGAAGGATGACTGGTAACTTTTAAGAACATATCAGAGAAAATGAGAAGATAAGGTAGAAAGGTATGTTGGTGTTAGATTGTAGAGAGCATTCATTGCAGTCATTTTATTTATCACTTACTATACGTCACTTAGCTAAGCCCTTTTCATGATTAACGATTCAATCCTTACCTAACCCTATGAAGTTACTCTACAGCTATTTTTTCATTGTGATGGTTAATTTTTTTTAAAAATTTTGTGATGGTTAATTTTGATTGTCAACTTCATTAGATTGAGAAGCACCAAGGAGCTCAGTAAAAAACATCTCTGAGTGTGTCCTTGAGGGCATTTCTCTGGAAACTTCCACTCCCAACAAGATGGTACACGAAACAGAAGTGGTTACACTAGAAAAAGGAGAGGAGAATCAATGCTGCTAGCCACAAATCATTCAATATCCATTCTACTGGGAGACAGTAGAGAAGAGAGCTGAGGTCAGCCAATTGCATAGAGCCCACCTCTGGAAAGAAAAGATCTAATGAGGGAAAGATAAAAGCAAGCTGAGGAATTGGAGGAGTTAGGTGGAGAAGTTCCCAAAATGGGCAGAACACAAGAGTTTAATGCTGCCAAAGGATGAAAGGTGATAAAGAATGATGCCAACTAGGGTTGGCAATGGAAGTTATTGGCAACTTGTGAAGAAGTAGGAAAGATGGAGGGAGGGTGTGGGGGGGGTGGGGGTGAGAAGACAGATTAGAGACTCAAAGATGTAAACCAGCAGCATCAGTGTGTGGTGTAAAAGGAGGAGAGCTGCTAGGTTGTTTGAAGGAATCAATAGCACAATGATTCTCAAAACCTGGGCATTGTGCCCCATTTGGGCGAATAGAAGTAGAAAAGAATACTCAGCCCAGCACTTAGTAATGTCTTTTCTCTGAAGCTGTTGGTGAAAAGTAGACAAATTGATGCTCTGGTTGAATCAGTTTCAGAAGTTACAGAAGAAGGAAATTGGATCTATTTGAAAGTCAACCTCAAAGAGAAATAAAAAGACAAATGTCTTTTATGAGCTGAAAAATAACCCAACACAATAACAAGGACAAACAGCAGCACAACAGTCCCAGAAAGTAACCATCTAGGTGAACGGTTATAACCAGTCTCCTCTCCTCTGGCTGAAACAATCTTACGAAACAGCATTTGCATCTATAATGTTGTGTCATAAGTAGTCTTGTGGTGAAATATCTTTTAAATAGAGGTTAGATAAGACAGAAGCTGGTACCATCTTATTATCAGAATATCCGTCAGTCTTCCAGACAAAACACCATCACCCAGTTTGCAGCTAAGGACAGTGTCTACTTAAACACAAGGTCACTCTGTTTGGGTACATGGGGAGCAGTGGAGGTGGGGTAGGGTGATTTACATTTATTCCAAGGCACTCAACACTGGACATCTTCCAAGAGAGGAAATGAGACTAAATAGATCATTTGTTTTATTCTGTTTGGGCATTTCTTGCATTTCTCCTGACTGCAGCCTATGGACACAAAGCCAAACTCAGAGCCTGGTTAGAGCTGGCTAAATGCCAGGTCACTTTTTAAATTTTTTTTTAAGGAATAAACAATTTGAAGCTCTAGCTGCAGATTAAGGCAAGCTACACAACTGAAGGACAAAATGAAATTCTGCTGTGAATGTGAAGTGGAAAGAAAGACCAGGTAAGAGTGTTAAGTGATTTGGATTTCTCAAACAAAATTAAGGTAGGGACAGGACAGAAATGTTGACTAAAAGTACATATCTGAAATTCATTGCAAAGAGTCAAATACTAAGAGAGAAACCTGCTGCTCATGGGGACACAACTGAGGCAAGAACACATGCTCCAATGACAGGTGTCAAAGTGCCTTGTGGCATAAATGTCACGGAATGTGTAGTCTGGGCTTTTGCTTCTGTCCTCTCTGTGGGCATCAGGAAGGCCTGCCAACATCAGCCACCCACTAAGAAGGAGGCATTGTTGGTATTCCTAGCATATCTTACTGGCAGAATGGGGCTTTGTCTTGAATCTGTTCCTTGGGGAGATGCTTATCATTTGTCCCCTTCAATGTCCAAGGAAAGAGAAAGGAACATTTGTGGCTGGGCTTATTTTAGCATATTAGTTAACCCTGTATCCTGTCTGATTTCAGAATTGACAAGTCACATACAGTATTGCTCAAAACGTTCCTTCGACAGTACTAGGGAGAACAGGGAAGTGACCATCAGTCATTAAAATATAAACAGACTGATGGTCTAGATGAAGAGTCTAGGCCTTATTTATACTCTAACTGGGAAAATAAGGGTGTTTTTCTTTCCCTGAAAAAAACTGCTTTGTTACAAAAGACTGAAAACTTTTAAAATGATGCTTATGAAGTCCTCTGAAAACCTTAACTTCAGAGTGACTTTACTAAAAAATTTAGAATTGCAAATAATTAACCAAAGCATTGAATATATGAACCAATGTATCAATGTTAACATCCTGAGAGTGATTTCCAGTTTTGCAAAAAAGTCACCACTGAGGAAAACAGGACCAAGTGTATCAGGGATCTCTGTGCATTATTTCTTTCAACTGCATGCAATTCCACAACTACCTTGATTAAAATTTTCAACTTCAAAAAAGTGATTGACATAGACATGGATGCAGGGATCCAGCAAGCTCTCCTGATTTGGCTGCACCCACATTTCCAGGTTCTAATTTGTCCCTGCCATAGGTTCTTAAATGATGCTCTCCCATCTGGAAGAGGCTACTACAGTTTCTCCATCTCACCCAGGGAGCTCATTCCCACCTTGGGCTTTCTCCTCTGGCTCTCCACCTCTTCATCTGAATTTTCCCGGGCTCCAGCCTACCCTCCATGACAGACCAAGCCACAATAGTGTCATTACCATGTCTAATAGTCATTTGGCATTTGTTCACCCCTGCCAACATGCTTACTGAACAATTGCTGTATGTGTAGTAGGGCTCTAGGCATTAGGGATACAATGAGTTTCATGTTGAATTGGCTTTCTTTTTTCCCCTGCTCTCTAGAAGCATATCTAATGAGGCAGAGTAGAAGAAAACTAGCAAGAAGCCAAGTTTAAAAAAAAAAAAATCAAATCATGCCAAGCACTGGTAGCGCATGCCTGTAATCCTAACTACTCAAGAGGCAGAGATCAAGAGGATTTCGGTTCAAAGCCAGCCTGGGGAAAGAGTTCGAGAGACCCTATCTCAAAAAAAAAAAACAACAAAAAAAAACCTATCACAAAAAAGAGCTGGTGGAGTGGCTCAAGGTGTAGGCCCTGGGATCAAACCCTAGTACTGCAAAAAAAAAAAAAAATCAAATGACAAGGGTTATGAAGAAACTGATAGGCTAGAGAAGGAAGGAAGTGATTTTAGGTGAAATGATCAAGGAAGTCTTCCCCAAGGTGATGACATTTGACTTGTGACCTAAAGGACCAGGAAACAGCCAGGAGATCCTCAGGGGAAAGCATTTAGGGGAGAGTGGGCAACAAGGACAAAGGATTTAAATACTGTCCTGCAGCTGGCCATGAATATTGAGCATGACTATGGAGCAATTAAACAGCTTTTCTTTTTTGTGGACTGTTTCCTTATTTGGGGGCTAAACCTCCCATAACTTGTTTCCCTATAAGAACGACTTATGCCCTTGGATTGGCCCAGATTTTACATTTTACAAAGTACCCCTCTGCCAGCGCGCGCGCGCACACACACACACACACACACACACACACACACACACACACACACGCTGTCTAGCAAGGCCACCTTCCAAGTTGTCTACCCGACAGTTCACAGTTGAGGCCACAGGCCCGCAAAGAGGATTTTGTACAAAAAGCAACATAAATTGACATTAAAGTTGGCCAGAAACCTAAGGAGCAAAGGAAGACTGAAGGAAGGAGATCCAGGTGATGGGGCCTGGAGCCAGGCAGTCATCTGTTGCTGGCATTGGGTCTGCACCTATCTCTTGCTCATAGGATCCCGTCCGCTGTAGGGCGAGGGTGAGAGGGCTGGATTTTCGCAGAACTCTGGGGGTACCTCATGCTGTCACGGCAGCTGGGAGTAGTTTTCCGGATCCCCTTGTCTGCCATTTGCCTAAGGAAACCCACCAAGCTCCTCTGTCCCTTACACAGCGAAAAGTCGTCTCTAGGACACCACGACACCATGCAAGGCACCTGGAGGGACGATCTGCCCCTTTCCCGCCGTGTCCTGGCACCGGGACCGCATCACCTGAAGGAATGGACAGTGTCCTGGGGCGCTCCCGTCTCTCCCAGGGGACAGTGAAGACGCCCTGCCCTGCATCCTAAGGACGCGCCCCTGGCGCTTGTGTCCCCACACCCCCGCCGCTTCTCATACACCCCGAGGCGACCCACGTGCATTTCGGTCCCCCTGGCGCCGCACCTCGGGGTCGGCGCGTCTCCCCGGCGCAGCCCCACGACGGGGACCCCCTGGGAGCGGAATCCGGGAGGCCGCGGGCCGGGAGTTGGTGGGGGGCGGCAGTCCCCGCGCAGAGACGCTGCGGCCGGCTGGCACACAAAGGCGGCGGCGGGAACGCGGGGCGGGGCGGGCCGGGGGCGGGGGCGGCAGGAAGGGGCGGGGGCCGGCGCGGCGGCTGCGATAAAGCCCCCGCGCCGCGGCCGCCCCGCTCGCGCTGTGGCTGCACTGGCTGCGCGGAATCTGCAGGCGCCACCGCCGCCTCTCTCCTTCTCTACCTCGGCCGCCACTGTCGTCGACCTCCCTCTCCCCCGATCCCCTGCCCCACCGACCCCCAGTTCCGGCCGCGCCACCCGCTGCGACAGCCACCTGGGGATCCGAGCGAGGGGCGGTGAGTACGGGCGTGCGCGACCCCGGACACGGGAGGGGAGCTGAGGGACTGTCCCCGCGCGCTGCGACCTTGCGCCCGGCCCGAGGCGGCTGCGGGACGAGCCCAGCCGGGGCTCCGACGTCGAGGCGGAGGGAACTTTCTCAGCCTCCCTGGGCTGCCCTGCCTCGGCCAAGGCTGGGTGCGCGCCGGGCTCCCGCGTCCCGCTCGCTGGCAACCCCGAGCAGGATCCCGGCAGGGCAAGGAGCGGCCGGCCGGCCGGCCGGTGGGGCGTCCAGGTGCGCCTGCATCCAGGAGTCCCCAAGCCCGCGGAGACGTCCCCAAGCCCCGCGAGGCTCCTGTCCACGCAGCCGGGCTGGAGCCCTTGACCCTGAACCTGAGCTATTTAGCTACTCGCGGGCGTCCCCTATCCAGTACTTTGCCTCCGGGCAGGGAACGGCAAACCCACTCTTACTTGTCACCTCTGCCTGAGCTGGGTGGAGGGGACCAGTGATTTGAAGGAGAATTTTATCAATTGACCTTTGCAAACGGTTTAACCCTATCTCTGGAGAAGGTCTTTGCCATTGTCATCATCTGTAAAAATGGGAATTGCGAGGCCGATTAGTACAAATAAGGTGAAAGTACTCAGAAATTCTGGGCTCAATTAGGTATTTAATTTGCCCACAAGCTGAACGGGGAGGGGAGGCTTCTCTTACATAAGACAGCACTCCACCTTCAGGTATTATGGAAGATGCTATTGAAGATTTTAGTGTTTTAATGAACAACACATAATCTTGTGTGTCTCTCGAGAAATCTCCAATTCAGCTGTATCTTGCTTTGACTACTTTGCAGAGAACGTTTTTATATTTAGCGTCAACATAAAAAGATGTTTGAAGGTTTGTTTTCCTCTTTCAAGCCAGGAAGCAGTTTACTTCGCTGAACTATTCTGGAACAATTTATCTGATAATTTTGTACTTTGGAGATTTTCTATCTGATGTTGAGCACAGATAACTGGAAGAAATGTCAGCATTATTAATTTGTATATCTAAAATGGAACGTAATTTCAACAGGATCTGAAGCTGTAAATCAGTACTTATGTGCTGTTGGCAAATTTTTTTCAGCTATGCAGCTGGAGGTGGTGCTAGCCTAAATAATAATCAAAGGTTTCTTTCAAGCCTCAAGTTTTGAATCTTTATTAAAATAATATTTGAAAATATTGTACAGTGTAAGGCAATTACTGAAGGTCATGAAGATGTTATCCATCTTTAATTCAAGAAATAAGTCTATGCGGAAAATGTCTACCTCCTGTGAACTTCACAGATTAGTGTGATTTTGAAAGGACAAAAATAACCAAGTCTCAAAAGGATGTTAATTTTCAGTTCCACACACGCATGATTGAACACTAGTTAGAGACTGAGGTGGAAGAGTTGGCAATGAGCTGGTGACATGACCAGGTCCCCAGCCACAGCTCTATGTGTTACTGTCCTCTTCCAGCCAGTCCTTCTTTTAGTGCATGAGAGACTTCTGCGCATAGTTTTCCTTCCCCCCCCCGCAGTCCCAAAGTCCATGTGGATGAGCTTGAGAGTCCTACTTCCTGGACCATCTCAAATCTTGTGGCACCACCCACCTCACCTCCTTAGTCCTCTAACCATATCTGATCCTTATCCTCAGATAGTCACCTTCTGAAATCAGAAACTCCAGTATCTTAGCATTTCCCGACCGGAAGCTACTTCTGCCTAGGCTGCACACTGGTACTCCAGTGGTAGTCACCAACACAAAAGATCCCCAGTGCCTTCCGTCCTTTGGGTTTGGCAGACCTCATGGTCCACTCTCCTGAGAAAACAGTTCACCATAATTGCTCCATATTCTACCCTATCTCCTCCTCACCCATAAACTTTTCCATAGTTACCCAGTCATACACTAAATCTTAGGAATTTGCTGTGTCTTAAGTACTTTGCTAGGCCTTCATATATGGTAACTATAGCAGGTTTTTTGCTCTCCTGGGACTGTCATTCTTGTGGCAGAAAAAAACAAAACAAGGAAGCAAACAAATATAAAATCTGTGATAAAAAATGAATACAGTAGAATGACAAAAGAAAACTCAGATTGAACTGGGAACTCAGAGATGAGAGAGAAGGCCTCATTTTGGCAGTGACTAATGTCGCCAGCTGTGTCCTGAATCCCAGCTCCTCCACCTACTCAAGAACTTATTCTCTTTACTTTTATCTTCAGTCTCTCCCTATGGACTCATATATATGTATTTTAATGCCCAAATCTCCCATGTTCCTGCATCCCTACCTTGCCTGTGGTGACCGGCACATCTCCCCAGGCTCTGCTTTCTTTATCAGCTCCTGCTAGTTGGCCCAAGTATCCCCACAGTAGGAGATCCAGTGATGTCCAGTGACGTCCAGTGACAAGTCATCTCCTAGGTGCCCACTGACCTCTCTGTGGTGTTTGGGCACTTTCATGCCTTTCTGTGCTTTTCTCTTCTGGTTTTCTTTCTGCCTCCCTGGCATCTCTGCTGCCTGCCAGGATTATCCAAGACACTGACTCCACCCATCTTCTGTGCTTTGTAGTGTTGATTGAACCATTTTCCCATAGCTTCACCTGTCACCAGTATCAAGTAAGTCCCAGGTTGGCATCCAAACTAAGAGCATTCTCCTGTGTTCCAACCAGTTTCCTACGGTCTAGTGGAATTAATCATTTCCTTTACACAAAAATAAAACAAAAACCCACCAGAAGTCCAAACCTGATGTTAGAGCTTACTACCCAGTATATATCTACTTCATATTTACCCAAGGTTTGTCCTGGGTTTATTTTTTTAGTTTTGGCAGTGGCTCTATCATTCCCTAAAATGTGCAAGCAGGAGCTGGATTTCTCCTGCATCCCCACCTGCACCAAGAGAAACACCAAGTCCTGTTGTTTCTCTGGGTTGTGAAATTCCATATGCCTCTGTTCTGGTCACACTGGCCCTGCCTTGCTTTAGTGTCTAGAAGTGGCAAAATGCTGCCACTTCCAGCTGATAAACATGTTGGCCCAAACAAAGCAGGCAGAAATTGAGTTAAAATTTAGAATTCTGAAGATGTTTCTTGAAGTTACAGCTTTTCTTAAAAATAGAAGACCTGGACTATAAGGTTCACATTCCCATGTGACAGTCCTCAGCTGGTGCTAAACTTCCAGTGCCTGTCTGCACTGGAGAGTGGTGGCTTTCTGGTTCCCCTGTGGCCTTTGTTGACAGCAGCTTTCTGACTCCCTTGGTTTCCGAGCTAGCAACTGTAGGCTGAGACAGCAGCCATCAGCAGCCTGGGAATTACACGGTTTACTGCATTGTACTCTGCACGCAGTGTGACATCCTTTTTGATTTCTACATTATTGCTGGTGTGACTTTCCTCCAGTCTCCTGAAATCTGAATCTTCTTGTGTCCCTCCTGATATAAATTCTGTCCTTCCATCTTGATTTGAGGATAAACTGCACTCTGAAGGAGTGGCTATGTTTTGTGTTACAGTGTCTCAGACTGCAAGGTGAGCTCTGTTGTCTTTATGTCAGGTTGGACCTCAGTTTCTCAGAATGCTTTGACTAGTGTAAGGTGAACTAGTACTGAATTCCCGTGTTACCTCGCCTGTGTCCAGACCACAGCCTCTGCTGTTTAAAATCCATTTCCATTGAACCTCACCATCTTCTCACTTCCTCACAACCCTCCACCCCCAGGAGGAGATGGAGTAGGGTCAACCTCACAACCAGACAGCATTGAGGAGACTGTAAATATGGAGGCACAGGCTGCCTTGGAGTCCTTGGAACATCAAGTCCTGGAGCCATGCAGTACATTCCCAAGGTCACTTTGGATAGTCTTACTCCAGAGCCTGAGTTCCTCTCAACCTCCAGCCAAAGAACTTTCTAGGGACTCAACAGGCTATTGGCCATTGGAATGACCCACCTCCCTGCCTCGTCCCCTTCCAGAAACCTTATTTCATTTCTTGCATAGTGAGCTTTCTTCCTCCTTTTGTGTTCAGCATCTGGCTAATTTCACCTTTTTCCAGTCTCAGATTTGTCACTACTCCCAACTCCCTATGGCACATATGCAGTGTACACATATGTGTACCCCTCCCCTGTGCATACCTCTTTGTTGGCAGTTGTTGCATTATAGCAACATGCTCTACCTAGACTCTAGACTCGGTGTTTTAGTTTTATTTGCACCAGCAATGATGTGCGGTCTGAAGGCATTTAACAGATTTGTCAACTAAACCATCTTCATGTTTTTCATAAGTCTACTGCACATTTTATGGACAAGTGTCTGCATTTCAGACTTAAAGGAGATTTCTACCCCCAAGACCATCACCTCTGGTTTTGGTACTTTTGAATTTAACATGTATCTTCACACTTTTTTAAATGCCTGAGCAACCAAGCATGGTAGAACATTACTTGGCGAAAAGCAGGGTAGAAGTACCTCTCTGTCTGTGTTCACTTGCATTGTCCTCATATGACCCTTTTCGTCTTGATTCTGTCTTCTTGGAGGTCCATTGACTGGGCTGCACTCTGTCTTTCATGGTTTGTACAAGTTGGAGAATGTATTTGTTTATTACCATTAACCTCTTTGGTGATAGTGATGTATGACCTCTTACTGACTTTTTATTTTTATTGTTTGTCATAGCAAGTACTTTGGGTTTTGTTTTGCTTTTTAGTTATTTTCTGCCAAGTTTGGTGGAAAGAGCCCTGGGCTGGGAAAGGGTCTGGTCTGTGTCACTGACAATCTGTATAGACCATCTTAAATTCAGTTTCTTTGTCTATACAATGGTCTCAAAAGTGTCTTATTAAAAGGGTCTTACATATTTTTTAAACCTATTAACATATTAGTTTTCCTTTCTGATCCAGCGTTCTCATAAATATCAAGTCTAGAGGAATTTTTTTCTAAAATGCATTATTCTGTGCTTACATACCATGAAATTCTTGCCGGTAATTCTCATTTTTAAGCCTGTGAAATCATTCATTGTTTGTACTCAGAAAATAGCATTGTGGGCCAACGTGAA